ACTTACAAATACAAACATCAGACTTGAAAGCAAAAGAGATGCTGTCTACATAGCAGGAAAAATTCAACTTTTGCAGTTTTTTGCTGGGTTATGAAATTGATCCACTTTAAACAGTGGAATAGAAAGGCTGTTCAGGAGCAGCACATGAATCTGGTGGCAGTCCATTCCCCTGATACTTCCCCATGGCAAATTAAAGGAACCACATACAGATATGGTGTTCTTGAATTTGTATATTCCTTTTTTTGTACTTGCTGTCTGCCTCTACCATTTCTTGTGACAGCAAGCTTCATGAAATCACCACCTGCTATGTAAAGATGTACTGCTTTTTATCTTTGTTAAGCTGATATCAATATAGTTTCATCACATTCCTCCTATTATAATATTGCAGGCTTTGGTGAGCAATAGTTCTGCAGTTACCTTACTCTTCATTAATGCTTTTTTAATCATTGATCATATTACCCCCTTGGTCTTCTGCTCTTCAAACTGAAGAGTTCCAGCTGGTTTTAGCCTCTTGTAAGATAGCTGCTGTTCTGTGAATTATTTGTGTTGCACTTCTCTGTACCTTCTCTTAACCCTATTTCTTGAGTTGGAAAGATCAGAACTGTCTGGTACAACACTGTTATATAGCAGCAAAATTATATTATCTGTCTTGGTTTTGTTGCTGTTCTTAGTGACAACCAAAGTTTTCTGGCATTTCTGGCTGTAGTTGAGCTTGGAGAGCTGTGAATTGTGGCCCCCAGATCTCTTCTTCACTCAAAGTTGGTGTGAGAATGTTAGTGAGGTTTGTGAGGTTTAGATTTTTTCCCTGAAGCAACTTTCAGTTCACGACATGCCCCTTTTCCCAATTCAATTCTAACAAAATTTCTTCAGTATTCTTTGGCAGGAAGCCTTGCCAAAGGCTTTCTGAGAATCCGGGTCTACAGGATCTTCATTTACCCATGTGCTTTCCTCTACACTTTCTGAACTCATGGTAGGTAGCAGGACAGTATTTTCCTTTACAAAAGCAGTGTTGTCTTTTTCCTGCCAGATATGTATGGGCTCAACAATATTCTTTTGTATGGACTCTACTGTCTTACTAGGAGTAGATGTTAGTATCAGTGGTCCTTTCAGGACCTCCAAGGCTCTCAGTTTGGTGTCATCTGGTCCACATGACTTAGAGATTTGACTGGTCTAGTACTTCCTCTACATGCCCTTCATGTCGATGAAGCTGTTCTGATGTTACAGAGAACATTCTGTGTGAGATACCATCTCATCATCTTCATTGGTAAAGACAGATGCCAAGAATTTGAAGAGCTTCTTTGTTGTGATCTTATCCTTGAGTATCCTTTTTGTACCCCTGTTGGAAAATGATCCTGCCAACTTGCTAGCTATCTTTCATCTTTTAAGTATTTATGAACATTTTAGTCTCAGCATGAGCATCTGTTGTAAGGTGATCTTCAAATTCTTCTTCACCCTCTTAATTTCCTGTTTACATTTGACTGCACTGTTTTATGGTCTTTCCTGTTACCATTTTCATCCTCCTCACTTTCAGAAATTTCCTCATGTTGTTTTTCTCACTCTCCTGACACATTTTGAGCAGAATGTCCACTTATATACATGAAAAGGGACACAGGGAAGAGCTTTATCTTTAATCATTCAGTGTTTTAGTTTGCAGTTGCCAATAATGGGTCCATAATCAGTTTACTGTTTTCTAAATTCAGAATATTTTATCCTTTCTTTGGGTCTTTCAAGCAGCAGCAAAAGTAGAAAATTTGTCTTTTGCAGAAATGTGGGACTTTATAGTGAATTAGATGTAAGGCAAGTTGGTTGCCTTTGAAATGAAAACTGTTAGTTTTGAATTTTCAAGTGTTATATACTGGATATTTTAAAATCTGCTGATATGTTAGCTCTCATTTTTAGTAATCAGAATACCCACAAATCCATTTTTTTTGTCATGTAGATTTTGGAGATGTAGAGTTGCATTCAGCATTCTTCCATAATTGAACACATATGTACACTTTCTTAATTTTATGAAAAGTTACTTTTATAATTAGATTTCTTCAGGAAAATATGCCACTGTGGAGCACTGTGATGTTGTGATTGTAACATTGTCAATCATTTTCCTTTATTAATGGCTAAAGTAGTAAAGATTGTTAGTAATTTTATAATAGTTATTCTGTTCTATTCTGCTGTCTTCTAATTATAGTCCCATCCTTCTAGAGGGACCTTGTATTACTAGATGATACAAAATGCGGTATGTTTAGAGTTTAGAGATTTTGGCAAGATGATGAGAGGTGATTCTGTAAAAAGTGAGAAGTAGAGTGGGATTGTGGGATCTGCACTTCTTTTTTCTCCTAAATTACAATAGGAATGTAGTTAATATAATTGGAGTGATTATTGCTTATGCTTCAGATTTAATGTCCAGGTGAGATTAATTATAAAAAGGTTTCTCAGAACAGTGAGATCTTGGAGCACTGTCTTAATTGCCACTGGGAGAAGAAAAGGAACTGATTGCTTTCTTAAGGTATAGTTGTAGCCTAATCAATGCTTTTGAATATGACCTTTTGAATATGTTTGTAGGCGATAATGTGGACCCAAATTCAACAATCTGAGATGTCCCCTCCAATCCCAAATTACTGGAAGTGCTTTAACTTGGTTATAGACTTGGGAGAGCATTATTAACAGATTACTTTATGACTCAATTGGCAGATGGAATTTTCAACTTCATTTTAAAGTCTAAATAAAGTTAATTAAGGATATTTGGCTGAAGCTTTGTGCTCAATTTTATGCCTGCAGCCATGGAATTGTCTGCTTAAGATGTCCAAACTCAGCTCAATATAGTTATTGGTGGTAAAATGTAAACTTCAGATGTATACTTCTTGAAGTGCTTACACTTCTTGGGTAATGTTTACCAGTCTAGTATTTTTTGAAAATTTTGATAAAAAAATAAATTCTGTGGAACCTGCATGGTTATTTACTGCCAGCTTTAGGAAGTTAATTTTAAATGGCTGATTTGCAAAATAGATTTGATTTTGAAGTTATTGATTTGATATTAGGGATATTGGTGTTTAATGGACGAGTAGAAATAGAAAATGGTTTGTCTAGGCATGAAAATGACATGAAAGAGTTAACTAATTCTTTAGTGAGTAATAGTGCAAGGTTTGGGGTGATTTATGTTCTTGGAACAGAGTTTATAATACCACAAAGTATTCAGCATAATATATGTTCTGTGTATCCTAATACACATAGTGTGTTTTAGGGAATGTGGATTTCCTTCCATTTTGGAAATTCTTCCAGTAAGTCAGCACCTACCATGAATGAGGAGTGCCGATTTCTTGGAACTGCATTTCTCTGGTCTTAACATCTTCTGACCCTTAATAAACACACAAGTCATCTATTCCCATCCCTTGTGATGAGCTTCTGAAATCTCAGAGAGTGATGTGAAGCACAGGTGCTGCATGGCTACAATAGGCAGCTTTGAATAAGCACTTGTATTCACTAACTGATTAAATCTATTTATATAATGTAAAGCTATCTTATCTTAGAGTCTGGTCAGAAAATTGCAAACTGTCTTAAGATGGTGCGTGGTGAGCTAGAGTTAGAGCAGGAGGGCTGACTGAATGCATTGGTCCAGATTGCTGGCACATGAAGCAAACTGTGATAAATCTGAGCTTTTAGCTGTGATGTTTGATCTGAGAGGGTTGCTTTTTTGAGAGCATTTATTCAATAGCTTTGTGATCGTTGGACCATATTCTTAGTTTGTGACGTTAGGACTATCTAAATGAAGGGTGCAATCTGTGTACATAACAGGAACGTTTCTCATTTCAAGGAAATGGTAGGAACATTAAAGTGCTTTCTGCTTTTTCAGTGTTTTCATTATTTAATGCAAGGCATTAAAGTTACGGAGAACGTGACATCTGATAACGGAAGAAGATGTTTATGAGCTTTAGGTCAGGTCTTGGTTAAGTTTCTAAAAGATGTATGATAACTTCAAATGATATTTATATCACATTGTCTAGAAATTGTATTATAAGACTCATTACATTATTACACTAAAAATTGGAAATATTCTGAAAATAGTAATTTTGGAATATAATATAAAAATGTACTTGCTTTTTCTCATACCTTTTGTGTGCTTCAAAACTGAAGAAAATCTATTCTGAGACTTGTGCAATTAGTATGCTGTGTCATGTCATTTTGTCTGATTAAGTGGAGAATTTCTGTAACTGCTTGGATGAATCCCACACACACTGGTGAAAGCAGCATACACATTTAAAGTATATTAATATGTCTCTTACTCATTTCAAAAATGGGCTTTATATAAGTAGGGTTCAATCTACAGTGGAAAGATTAGGATCAGCGAATCATTTTTTGCCTAAAAATATTTGCATGGTAAAAATATCCCTAGCTGTCACTGTTCTCGCACTTCCCATACAATAATTATCCGTAATGGTAAGCTGATTTCGTGCTGAAGGCTGTAGTTCAGCAATGCACTTGAAGTCATGCATGACTTGCATAATACTGGATCGTTCCCTCTGTTTAAAAGGTGTAATTCATGTGCTTGAGTCAGACACACATTTAAGTACCTTGTTGAATTATTGGCTATGTGGAAATTGTTTTTCTCCTCAATATAATCAAATTTGGAACTGGAAATTACCTTCTGTACATGCCTTTAGCATTTTTTTTCTGAGTTGTGCCAACATCAGTTGTTGATCACTTCAATATTTGTGAGTTTGCTGCTATCCAGGCAATTGAATTATTTTGTATTCATCTTTATGTGCCTCTCAACTACCTTTTCCATTTACATTTAAAATTAGCATTTTGCCAACACTGTTATTGTTTAAAGAATAGCAATGCAAAATGTGGTTGTCCAGAGAATTAGTCTCAATTTCATGTGAATAAATACAAGTTTAAATGTTATATGAGGTGTAACATAAATTTTGAAAAGTGTAATTTTAATCTATATATCTAGCTATTTCTATATGTATTTACCTTGTCTTCTGTATTTTAATATTTTCCAGACAAGTATAAAAGAAGGATTACTACTGAAGCAAACCAGCTCTTTTCAAAGGTGGAAGAAGCGTTATTTCAAACTTCGAGGTCGTACACTTTATTATGCTAAGGATTCAAAGGTAATTGTATGTTGTTAGTATCTAATGCCATACATATGTAACTTAATTTTGTTTAGGTTTGTAATTCCAATAATAACAATAATAAACAATGATTTGTTTGTGGTTGTTTTTTAAAAGAACTTCTGTATATAAGATGTAGTGTGTTAAATTAACCTTACTAAGGGATATTGGTGATTTCTGTTGGTTTTTTTAAAATGAACTTTATCACAGTAATTTTAACCTTTTTGGCTCTTCAGACAAATAATAAACTCATTTTAAGGAGTTGGGGATTCTTTTGGGGGAATGGCTCTCAGAAAGTTAAAGAAGTAAAATGCATAATGCTTAGAAATTATCCCTCAAACTGAATTCTATTAAATCTTCTAGTCTGATGCCCATATTATTGTTGAAGGGATAAAAATAGTTATGTGAAACCAAGATAGGCTGATTTTCTGCCAAAACTGATATATAAGGGAAAAAGCTGTTTCCCATCAATTGAATTTTATTTGGTGGGAAAATTGGAGGTGAGCAGAGGAGAATACTTGTCTTTTTTTTTTTGAAAGGCATTTCCTCCCTCCCCTCAAGGCCAGGACTGAGGCATTTTGGCTTGTTGGGCTGACTTAGATTGTGCTGTTCCATTGCAGTGGGTATTACTTTCCTTTACTCTGTGGGGTTGGAGCACCTCATGAGAGCTGTAGGTGAGGTGCTTCAGGTCTCTGTCATCTTCTATAGCCTCTTTCTAAGGCATAGAGATCTCTCTTTCTAGGACTACAGGACTGTAATTGCATGCTGCAAAGTTGTGTGTCTGTAATGAATCAAAAGAAGTATCATCATTCAAGTGAGTCCAGTGCTGAAGTTACCTCTGTTGTCTCATCTCTCTGCACTTGGTGCTACCACAAGCAGTCTATATAGAGAATAAACATGGCAGATAAGAGCTTTGAGAAGGGCAACATCAACACACAATATGATGCTGAGCTGTTTTGAAAATGTGAGCCTACACTGTTAGATGAGGAATATGGGCTATTTGCACACTCTGGGTCTATGTTCTTGCTATTTTGGGAGCCATGGAGCTGTTGGAGTGTGTCCGGAGAAGGGTCTTGAAGATGATCAGAGCACTGGAGCACCTCTCTTATGAAGACAGGCTGAAATAGCTGGGGTTATTCAGCCTGGAGAAGAGCAGGCTCTGGGCACCTTATAGCAGACTTCCAGTACCTACAGGGGCTACAAGAGAACTGGCACTTTTGAAAAGTGCATGTAGTGATAGGACAAGGGAGAATGGCTTTAAACTGAAAGAGGAGAGATTTGGGTATTAGATTCAAGGAAAAATTCTTGACAGTGAGGTTGGTGAGACACTGGAACAGGTTGCCCAGAGAAGGTGTGGGGTGTGGATGCCATATCCTTGCAACTGTTCAAGGCCAGGTTGGATGGGCCTTTGAGCAACCTGGACATGGCAGGGGGGCTTGGAACTAGATGATCTTTAAGGTCCCTTCCAGCCAAAACCATTCTGTGATTCTATAACAAAGATGAGAAGAGAAAGTGTTATGAGTAAGCAATACTCATAACAATAAAGTGCAAATACTCTGTAAGGTTGAATCCAGACATGCTGGAACTCCCCCAGCATGGATTCTCCCTCGCATGGCATGGAAGATGAAAAATATCATAGGGCTAAAAAAAGTGGTTTTGTTCGTGTTCCCTTCTATGCTGCAAAACCCATCATGCGCATAACAGAACCTAATTAATACTTTGCCAGAGGCTGGGGTGTTTACGGTAGACATATATTTATCTTATTGGAACATCAAAAAAAGGAGTGGAAGGGATCTCTTCAGGCCCTTGATCTCCATTTTCTGGTATGGATACAGTATCATAGGTTTCTTCAGGAATTTAGAGTTCCATCATAATACTGATGAATTAATTTACATTTCACTAAGTGTGAATCTCACTCCTGTGACACCACATTTATGCTACACAGTAGAGACCCTAAAGCTGCATCTTTTTAAACAAACCCCTCTGTTAAAAGAGATTTTACAATATAATTTTGGAGCCATTTTTTCATGCTCTCATGTACCCTTAGATAGCAGATAGGACTGTATTTAGGGGCCAGCTATGAAGGATATCAAATCATCAGTGTGTTCTATTTTTTCACTGTTTTTTTTTCTATTTTTATTTTCTAACTGGAATGGATACAATGGAATTAAAGCACATATTGTGAGCGTACCTGAAAGTGGACTCAGACTTAATTTAATGCTTCTATGTTCTTTACCATTCACAGTCTCTAATATTTGATGAAGTTGACCTGTCAGATGCAAGCGTAGCTGAATCGAGCACAAAAAATGTCAACAACAGCTTCACGGTATGGAACAATTTTAATACTGTTCTTGAAAGCTGTGGATAGACTGTTACTAAGAAAATAAAGAATCCTCTCAATTGCTTATTTTCCTCCATTTGGAAATAAAATGTCTTTTATTTGGAAATGGTATAATGTATGGAACAGTATCACATCAACTATAGAACATTTTATTTCAGTGACTTTTTTAGCAGAAGTGTCAGATAACAGTTGCTTCAAAAGATGATGGTATAAGGAATTAAAAATACAGCAAGATTCAGTATTAGTACTTTTATAGTACTTACTAGTACAGCTTGGGTTTGTGATGTCATTTTTCTTTGAGGTGACATGCTGAATTAAATCAAATGTAATTGTGTTTTTGTTTTAATTTCTTATCATAACATTTTTGATTTTCCTTCATATTGAAGTGTATTTTATTTTTTTCATTGTCAATCAAAGCCCTGTGTATTTCCAAGTCATGTGGAAAAGCTGTCCTTACAGTCATACCTTGATTCTGATACTGGTGTGAAAAAACATAGTGTTCATAAATTCCTGTTTCTGTAAGTTTACAGGTGTGTTTTACATTTATTGTTCAACTGCTTTGTTAGAACTAAGTGATAATGTCTAACAAAGTTGATTCTCAGGTAAGCTGATTCTTAACCTCTGGAAAAGTAAATTTTTTGAACAAGAATTAGTTATGAAGAACACCGTGGGTAAAGTTGACCTTCTGAAGGTCTTGACTTGTCCCACTGACTGCAATGGCATCCTTTTTCTTAACCTGCATATCCCATTGTTCTCTATTAAAGTGTTGATTTTCCATTTTCCTAAGAATTTTAATTCCACAGGTGGTCTATATTACTAGTCTTGGTTTTTCTTCTCCAAGGCAGTCAAACACAAGCCTCATGAAAGCTTTGTAGGTCTTCCTTATTCTAGTACCTCCCAGGCAGCTACTGAAGTAGTAAGAGCACTTCAAAGATGTGTTCATGTTGACCTGGACAGTCTGGCATGTTGTATAAATCTAAGCTTCTTTACTGAACAAGAATGCAGTTAAAAAGAGTACTTTGACCCGAGGCCTCGGATCAGGTGGTGGCTGTGTGAGGTACCAGCTTGCTTTTGTAAAGGTTCTGTTGTCTAGAAGCTCTGTTCTTCAGAAATGTACCATGTTTGGGGGTTTTTCCCCTGTTCTCTTTTTCCTTGTACAATGTTTGGTGTTTTGGTATTGTTTATAATCCTTTAGACCCATTCAGTATCTCATTCTTCATCAAAAGTATGATTCTATTATCTAGACTTCTGGAGAAGACAGTAGTGAAAAAAGAAATCTCAGAGGCTACGGCTTTAACAGCTGACATTGTTTATTTTCATGTCCTGGGTAATTTAGGGCAAGCAGTGTTTTCTCTAAGGAGTCTACAAATTCATTTTGAAAAATTATTTGGATTTAAAGCTCTCCTGTATTGAAGAGTCATCTGATTCGACTGTGAAATATAGTAATAGTCGTCATCTTGCTTAATCTTTTGGTATCTTCCTTTGTGTTTGCCTAACCCAGTATCCCAGCAACATAGTTCCGTGAAGTACGACATCTCTGACCTCGCCTGCACTGGGTTGGAGTCGGGATTGGAAGTGGAGTGGGTGGTTAGTTTTCCAGCAATAGTGCTTATAAATAAAAAGAAACATTTCTTTTTGCTTTTTATTTTCTTCCATCTTAAAAAGATAATCTTTGCCTTTCTTAAAATTATGAGGTTTTTTTAATTTATGTTCTAGATGCTCTGTTAGCATTCTCTTTGTTAAAAAGCAAAAATTAAACCCTTAACTTTAGCCTTATCTAGTTAATGTCCTCCTCTTGTTTCTTTGTCCCAAGAGAGAATATTTTTAACACAAACTGATGTAGATGGAATATACACCAAATGACCATTTTTCCAGGAAAATACACCTTTAAATATTTATATTAAAATTATTTTTTTTAACAAATCCTTTTGTCATGCCATTTAAGTCCTCCCACTCCCCTCTATTTCCTACCCTCAGCTTGTAGAAGTTACTGGTTTGCCCTCTTTTGCCCTTTCTAGTTTGTCTGTTTGGAGGCAGAGGGGTGCGTGTCAAGATTTTCCATACTCTTTTATGGATAAGCCCTAAAATTAGTCATAACACACAGATTTAAGGTTGAGTTTATTTGTAATGCACAAGTTTGCAGAATATTTTATGTAACTAAATATCACTGTTTATTCACCAGAATTACTTTTCCTTTCTTTCTGCAAACAAGTTGAGATTAAGGGGAAAATTGAGGTAAATAAATATCTGCCGATTAAAATGAGGAGCTGGTAAACTTAGATCATCTGTTTAATTTTTTTCTTTATTGCTGATGATGTTACTTTTCAATGAACAATCAGCTCACTTCTAGCAATTAGCTTCTAGTGCACAATCTTGCACTGGAATGCCTCTTAAGAGATTATAGGTGTTTTGTAGTTCTGAGCATCCTCACCTAGAGGTTATTAAATAGAACAAAAGGTGTCCCTTGACTTCAGAGTCTTTTCATGACACTCAAGGCCAGATTCTTCGTACTGCCTTGTTAGGTACCAGTCTCCCAAGTCTATGAGAAGAGAAAAAGGTAACTTTTAGCTTAAGTTTCTACCTCTACCTTGTGTTTGATGATGAGGAACTGATGCACATTAACAAGGAAAAGAAAATCTGTAGGTGTTAACCATGGTGCCTTTCAGTTGTTGAGCCCACGTGATTCTATAAAATGCCCTGGGTTATTATAAATCTATCCTAGAATCTCAAGTTAAATGCACAGGCATCACGTGACAGCAGCTGTATTTAATCCATCTGAAGTCTTGTTTGAAACATTTAATTCAGTTATGGGTTTTTTGGTGGTAAATGTGATGGAAAATAATAATTTTATGGTAGAAATACTGGCTTTGAGGCACTGCTTTGTACAGCTGGCTTTAGACATTTGATTTGGGTTAGGTCAACTTTTAGTGCATCTAAGAATTACCTAAAGCCACAGACACTCATTTTCTTACTATATGTGTATTCAGAAAAGTGAAAATTCTGGCTAGATTAATTCTGTTATTTAATTGCATCTGAAAGTAAAAGAGGAAATAATTTCACTGTCATTCTGGAAGGTGCCCTCCAGGAATATGATAGTTAACATACGGTATGATACTCAGGATGGGGATTCAGCTTGCTCTGACTTCAGTGTGGGACTTGATGGGTTTATAGACTCCTAAATTTAGGTATCTAAGATAAGATTAATAGCTCTTTAAAGCATATTTCTCTAATTGCTCGGTTCAGTTTAGAGTCCACTGATTAGTAACTAACTCTCCCTTAGCTACAATAGGAGCTTTGTCATCCAGGGCACCTAAAATGTAGAACCTTGCTTTCAGCTTTCTGAATTAGGTGCTGAATCAAGGGCTTTTTGTTGAATATTCATCTTCTGAAAGTTGTCATCTTGAGAGGGAGGAAGCTGCAGTAGGCAGATCTGCTGTCCTGGAAAACCTACTGTGATTCTTAGTAATTAGAAATTGGCTGGAAAGGAGACTTTATATTCCAGCTCATAACACTGATTACTAGGATTCTGGATATGCTTGCAAAAATGTCTAATATAATAATTTTTGCTGATTTGTTGTTTTTAGCAATGATATAGACCATATAGAGTCCTAATTACTTATTGTATGGAAAAATAACTCTTTGGAGAAAACTCTTAATGTGCTGTGCTTTGATAAAGTATTCTTACCTAATGTTATGACACAAAAACAGCAGAAACCTATAAACCATTTGGCTTTTGCATTTTATATTTTTTATTACCTCCTTCTGATTTGACTGATTTCCAAGGTAAATAATATTTGTAAACATTTTTCTATACTCTTTTCTATACTTGCTGTTCTCCCAATTGTTATTCTGCAGCATCATCTTGTGTGTGAAGTGACATGTTTGACAGTCACTGAAGCACAAGTCACAGACATTTGGGATTATTTTATAAATTAATGCTCATTTGCATTGCTTATGAATCCCATGTTTTGTCTGTTTTCTGCAGCAGCAGCATGTTATGCATTTTTGTTACCTCTATATTGATACTAAGATTCTTTTTCTACTAATTTGGAGCTGTCTGTAATCCAGAAATACTTTATCTATGCTTCTGTTGTTTTTCTGTGGTGTATATTTCTTTGGTTTTACTGACACTGAACTTTTTCAAGTACTGTGTGCTTAATACCTTACTTGGCTCACTTTGAAGTGCCTTGGAGATCAAGGGGGAAAGTAAGTAATCAAAATTTTGTGCTGCCTGTAAATGAATATATATTGCTATACTGCAACTTTACATTCCTCTTCCCGTTTAAGAATTACACAACAAAATTTCATCAGAGAATAGCAAGGTGCTTATTATCTATTAATCTTTTCTCATATTAAAAATTCCTGTTACCCTTCTTATTTTTTTACATCCCTTAACTTTTCATCTCATTGCATGATTGGGAATAAAAATACTGAGTCTTTTCAGTTCAGTGACTGAACTAAACATGATTACGGATCAGGCTGATGTTTTAACTTTTTTCAACAGAAGTACTTAATTTAGTTCAAATTGATTCCTTTAATTAATCCCTTTATGGGTTAATTTTTTCTAAAGTATTTTTTCATATTATATTAAAAAAGACCCCCCCAAAAAATGTCATTTCATTAAAGTTAATCCCTGAATGTAATTTTTTTTACAAAACTTTAAAGTTTTTTTTTTTCTAATTTCCACTTTTTTTGTAAGATTTACCAGTTTGCTTTGACCTGAAAGTAAAGGATTCTGCTTAATATGTTTTTACACAATCAAACAAACAAATCGATATGCATTTGTCTGTGCTTTTCTTGATATTCTGTAGATTTGGATCCATTTTGTAAAAACTAAACATTTGTATGCTGATTTTCCTTCGACCTGTTATTTTTAGATGGTTTTTTTATAAGTTAGTGAAGCCAAATAGTCTATTGAGGCAACTGTGCTTCAAGTGTGGTTAAAATTTATATTGTTTTCTTCTAGTTTATATTGTTTTCTTCCA